CGCCCCTGTCCGCCCGGGGCCAGGCTCTAGCGCACGGAACTTGGGAGATGTGGTCACAAAGGTTTTATCTTTTGAAATGAAGCCAAGGCCACCCTGTGAGCAAACACGCAGCTTCCTGCAGCCTCTCTCTGCGGGATGGGGACCCTTGATACTGGCAGGAGTTTTGGTTCAGCTCCTCATCTGGACATCTGGTCGACCTAACCCAGCGGCTGGCAAACCGCGGCTCGCAAGCCACATGCGGCTCTTTGGCCCCTTGAGTGTGGCTCTACCACAAAATACCACGTGCGGGCGCGCACGTACAGTGCAAAGTTGACTTAAAACTTGAAGTAAAGTTTATTAAGTTAATTTTAGGGAACGTTGTGGAGTGAAAGAAGATGTAGTGTTGAGGATTGAGAAAGGTACGTTGAGATGGCTTGGACATACAGAGAGGATGAACGAAAGGAGAGAGACGAAACAAGTATACAAGATGAGTGTGGATGGGAGAGTTGGAAGGGGTCGACCTCAGCGAAGGTACCTCAATCAGATTGAGGACGTTTTTAGCAAAGGCCAGCTTAGGAGCACCCTGATTAAGTTAATAACCATGTGCCTACCTAGATAGTTTAAGTTTAAAAAATGTGGCTCTCAAAAGAAATGTCAATCGTTGTACTGTTGATATTTGGCTCTGTTGACTAATGAGTTTGCCAACCACTGAACTAACTAAAGAACCCATCCATTGTCAGCCACCAGAGCAGGTGGGACACTTCTCTGCCAGGGGCCGTTTGGACACTTACACCATCATTCTCGGGCCACACACAATTACCAACTTAGCCGGTTGTATTTGGTCCTACATTTAATTAACTTAGCCCTAATGCCTCGGCAGGGCCAGACCAAATGATTTCTCAGGCTTTATACGGCCCGTGGGCCGAATGTTCCCCACCCTGCCGTCCCCTAACAAAGGCCAACAATTGCTTTTGGAAATAGATGGTCATTCGCAGGTGTGCACTGGCCCGCACCCCTGGGTGCTCCCATTCATTCTCCCTCTGGAGCTCGGAGCTGGCCCAGGACCCCGTTCAGAGCACAGGACCCCGTCTCAGCAGAGCCACCACCTCCTCCCTGCCCCTGACTGTCGCTGGCACCGCCATGAGACGCAGCTGCGAGAAGTGAAGCCTGGTTCTGCTCCGCAAGCCGCCCACAGTTCCCGCTTCGCCCTCCAGGAGCCCGTGTGCTCCCTCCCCTGTCTGCCCCGCTCTGTGGGGTCTGCAGGGAGCTGCGGCCACATCCCAGCTCAACTGCAGCGTCCAGGTCCCTCCCCTGGTCCCTGGCTCCTCTGTCCTGTGCCCTTGCCCACCTGGGACCGGTCCTCTGGCTTAGCTGGCGCTCCCGTCGGCGCTGGGAGCACAACGGCCCGGGGGCAGGATCCACCGCTGAGTGCCAGCCCCAGCCATGCGGCCTTGGGTAGGCGATGCGCCTCTTCCGGCCTACCCATTGCCAATGTCCACGTTTTACCCCCACGGAGCCCCAGTTAGCAGGTTGGGGGGCTGGGGCCTCACTGGGACCCAAAGACTCAATTCGGTTCCTCCTAAGTGTGAGGCAGACAGGCGCCTAGGCAGGGCTGTGCTGACGGCCTCACTAGCTTCACTTTTCGGGGGAAGACAGTTCCTAGGGTGGGACCTCCCTCTGTGTGTCTTGGAGACAAAGCAACGAGGGCCTCGCTGCGGGGAACTGAGGAGCCAACAGCACCAATTCCCAGATGCATTCGGCCTCTGAAACTCTGACTGCAATTCTGGTGTGTCTGTGTGTGTGTGTGTGTGTGTGAGTGTGTGTGCATGCGTGTGTGTATGTGTGAGTGTGCGTGCGTGAGTGTGTGCGTGTATGTGTGAGTGTGCGTGTGAGCACATGTGTGTATGTGTGTGCTGTGTGTGTGAATGAGTGTGTGCGTGCGTGCGTGCATGTGTGCGTGCGTGTGTGTGCATGCATGTGTGTGAGTGTGCGCGCGTGTGCATGTGTGTGAGTGTGTGTGTGAGTGAGTGTGTGTGCTTGTGCGTGTGTGTGTGAGTGTGTGTGTGAGTGTGTGTGCGTGTGTGCGTGTGCGTGTGTGTGTGGCAGGGGGGTCCACACCACCAGGCAAGTCTCACACACTAGCTGGCAGCCTGCAGTTCAGCCCGATCCTGACCGGATCTGCGTGGAGACAGATCCTGCCCCACGGGATGCGTGCTGTCTGACCACCTGCCTGTATGGTCCCAGGGGCCTGGGGTTTAGTTAATGTGGTGAGCAGCTCGTGTTACCAGCCGGTCACTGGGTTATTGTTAAAGGACACGACTGGGGAATGGCTGGATGGGAGAGGTGTGGGGCGAGGTGTGGGGTGGGGACAGGATGAGGCCTGGGGTGGGTGCAGACCTCCCTGCTCTCAGGGAGCTACAGCCCCAGCACCTGCCCCTGCTCACCACCGCACCTTTCACACCCTGGCACCCAGCCCAGCCTCAGGTGCTTTCGAGGTCACCTGTTTGCCTCACAGATGCCTTCATTGCTCTGCTCACTTGGGAAATCCCGGGTTTAGGAGCTCAGTGCCAGGAACTGGGATGAAGACCAAGTGTCTGTTTCGTATAAATCACAGCTCACAGCCTCTGGGAAGGGCACCTTGGGAAGCCCCTGGGGCCGGGCTTTCACTGAGAGGTGAGGGGTGAGGGGTGAAGGTAAGGATAAAGGGTGAGGGTGAGGGTGAGGGGTGAGGGTAAGGGTGAGGGGTGGGGGTGAGGCGTGAGGGAGCGGCCTCATGTCCCAGGGCCCCTGCGTGAGGGTGCCTGGGGGGCCTGCAGAGGGCAGGCAGGACGTCAGAGCGACCTGTCGGGCTGCAGAATGCAGAGTCCCAGGCCCTGCAGTGGCGTGTCCTCTAGGCTCCCGGGTGTGACCCAGTGGCCGCGGGTATGGGGGCTCCGGCCAGCAGCCTAGGCCCCTGCTGGGAACCCCGATTCCTTGCCAGCCCCGCGGGTGTGCCAGGTGCCGCTGCTCTTTCCCACGTAAACCCCCAGGACCAGGCGCGTCTGAAGGATGGTTACTCAGTACCCCCTCGGCTTCATTTCTCTCCGCTGGCAGCCGGTCCGCGGGAGATGACAGAGCGGGGAGGGCCGCCCCTGGACGGGCTGTTATTAAAACCCTCAGTTTAATTCAGATGGATAACAGCATTTAAGAGGCCGGCACCCAGGCGGGAATGAGTTACACTCCAGCACGGAGCCCCGCCCGCCCTCATCCCGCGGGGGGTGTGGTGGGGGTGATTAATGCGCGCTCCGGCCCCTCGGGTGGCTCTGGGCCCCTCGGCTCTCATGTGCCGGCCTCAGGACCTCAGTGCCGAGCTGGTGGGTGCTCTGCCTCCTCCCCTCTGCTGTCGAACCAACAAGGCTGGGGAGCCTTCCAGAACCTTCTCTCCCTGGGAGAGCTGGCCCCCCCCCCTCTATTTCACCCATTCTGATTGATGATATTCCCTCTAAACTTTTGGTGACCCCTCCCCCCGGGGAGCCCCCCCCCCCCCCCCCCCATCCCTTCTACCCCAGAGCTCGTGGCTGAAAAGGCCTGTCGCATGACCAGAGCCTCGGGGCAGGTGCATCCGGCCCCTCGCTGGGCGTCGATTTAGATTTTAGACAAAAGTCTCCTCCTGCCTGGACCACCCTCTGTGCGTGGCCCATGCTCAGCCACGCAGCTTCGGGGGCCACTGTCCTCCAACTGCCACCAGGTGGGGCACTCGGTCCCAGGACCCGGCCTGCGCTTCCCTCCCCAGGAGCCCCACCCACACCTTCCGCCCACGGGGCAGGGCAGGGCAGGGAGGGGGTGGGGCACAGCCTCGCTGACTCGGCAGAGGGCCGGCCTCCGAGAACGGTGGACACTCGTGCTCACTGGCCATCGGCCTGAGCACAGCACGCGGAGCGCAGGCAGCAGCGCTCAGTCCCTGCGTGCGGTGCCCGGTGGCTCTCGGACATCACGGGGCCTCTTCGAAGGCGTACAGACGCCCAAGCCCCTGCTGTGCACGTCGGACTAACAGGCTGCGACTGGAAAATAAACCCACGGAGTCGGAACACAGGGCTTTCCTCGTCTAGACCCGATCGGAGTGCACGGGGCGAGGAGGCACCCAGCCCTCCCGGAGCCCATGGCCGGGTCTGGCTCCCGTTCTGAGGGTGAAGACGGGGCGGAAGGACAGGAGCCGCCCAGTCCGGGAGGAGTGTATGTGATCACAGTCAGCGAAGCGGCGACTCCTCACTCCGCCTGTGAACCTGGCGCACAGCTTCAGAAAGCACCGGGCAGACCAACAGGACGCCAGCGCCACGGAGCGAAGCGTTCGAGGGCGGCCGCGGCGGGAGAAGGCGGGGCTGCGTCCTGTCTGTGCCGGGAATGTCCCCACCTGCCAGGTGGGTGAATGTCCGGGCTGCCAGGTTGTCCGGGCTGCCAGGTGGGTGAATGTCCCCGGCTGCCAGGTGGGTGAATGTCCCCAGCTGCCAGGTGGGTGAATGTCCGGGCTGCCAGGTGGGTGAATGTCCCCGGCTGCCAGGTGGGTGAATGTCCCCAGCTGCCAGGTGGGTGAATGTCCGGGCTGCCAGGTGGGCAGAGGGGACCGGAGAGCGAATGAGCCTGGAAAAGCTCAGTCACCAGTGGCCACACCGAGGCAGACGGGATAAGCTGGCGCTTGCCATGTGCAGGGCCGGGGAACATGAGCAAAGCCAGTCACCGCCCTGCCGGTCTGGATGCAGGCGTGGCCCTGGGTGTGGCCGGGAAGTGTGTGGCGTGGGCATGGGCGTGGGCGTGGGGTGTCCCGTGCCCCGCAATGCAGCCCTGATCCCCTGCACACCCAGCGAGCCTGACCTGGGAGCTGTGTGGGGCCTTTCCCGTGCCGTGGCCCTGCGTGGCCCTGTGTGGCGCTGCGTGGCTGGCTCCTTCCCCCGGGCTCCGTCATCTTCTCTGGAGGCCCTGCCTGGTCCCTGCTGTCACTGATTGTGGCTGCGGCAGGCCTCCTTCGGGGGCTAATGTCACCTGTGAACTGCTGTCTCCACAGCCGCTGGGCCCTTCCAGGTGAGGCCTCGCCCCGCAGGTTGCAGACGTGGGCTGAGGACACCGGGTGGGAGCAGGCCCTGCCGAGGGCACCAGGAGGGAGCAGGTCCCTGTTCTCCAGAAGCTCCTGGGAGAGGCATGTGGGAGGGGCACG